CCTCCTTCCGTCAAACTAAAGAAAGGATAAAACTCTGTCTAGTCCGTCAGTGGCCAGAGTGTTCTCCAATCGACAGGCCCGAACAATATGTCCCATTATGCTCCCCCTACTCTGTTTTATCTGCAACCAATACAGGGCAAGGGGAAGAAGATGATGCTTGTACCTTCATATGCTTCTCTCTGTACAGTCCCGTGTCATCCTCTATAGAGTCCTGTCCTGAGTCCAGTGCTGCAATCTGTGTCCTGAGTCCTACTCTTACTGTTCTTCCTTGCCAGAGCTCAGGTCTCTAAAGGAGGGGTGGAAGTGTCCTTCAGACTCTAAGAGTGGCGTGGAAGGTGATCATGGGTTGGTTCAGGCACAACTAATGAGTGGGGTCTAATTAACAAAATGTATGCAGATGTCTATTCTTCTTCTATTATGAAGCTTCCTCTTGGTCTCAGGTCCCATAAAATCTTTTGCAATAACATATGTCACTTCAAGACTGTGCAGTAATTAAAGGGCGTCTGTACACACAGTGTGTCATTCAATCTTTGTCGATTACCAACTGTCCTAGTGCTTTCACCAGGAAAGCCAAACCAAGATGTATTAATAATTGCTGAAAGGGGCACAAAAGCACTAGTTGAGCTTTGAGTAAACTGCTGATGCTAATAACGTATATTTTGCCTCCTAAATTAAAAATAGGGAAAAATAGAGTCTAAGGTATCTAAGACTAGCAGTGCATCACAGAATTAAAGACAATTTTGAAGTAATAAAATGGTCAGGACTTATTTTCCTCTCTATATAGTCTTACAGTGTAACCTGTATGACTACTGTAGATGTTTCATTGGGCCCAACGATTTGTCTCTTACCTTAAAAATGCTAGTGTACACAACTTTTAAAAATTTTAATCTAAAGTAAGTCCTGTTTTTTGGATAAATGTTTGTCAGATAAAATATATGGTGTTTATGCATGAAAAACTTTTCTTTTTTAAAAAACAAAACGTACATGTTTTTTTCCTACTTTACTTTAGTAGGAAAAGTAATATGAGCAATGCACTAGCCATACTTTTTGTATAACTCCTCATGTTGCCAAGACGAAAACCTCAATCTTCTGTTCGTTTACTTTTATTCAGCTCACTCCAATTCATTTCCTTCCTGTAACTGTGTAAGGCACTGCAATGACACTTCCTCATTTTCAGAGATGACCAAGGGAATAAGGAAAAGCAATTGGAAACTCACTGTTTTGTGAATCACTCAAAGTATGAGGGAACTTAAGAATGTAAGAGTTTTTTTTTTACTAAATGAAATTAACCTCTAGAGGCATTTAGCCAGGACATTGTCAGCAAGCCAATCTGATTGCAAAGCAAAGGCCTCTCAGCACAGACTGATCCACTGATTTCCTGGAGTACATTACCTGAAAACAACTAGAAGAAATGTAGCAATGGGAAGAAAATGTACATGTGGATTTATATGAAATATTAATGATGATGAAGACTGCTCAGCCTACCCGTTTATCTTTTTCTGAATAACAGAGTGATCTGTGACTTCTTGAGGGATCTTTGGTAAGTATCCTGTAAAACATAATGGCAGGCGAACAAATTCTATTCCCTGTCCCCCTGCCACTGGAGGTGTCATTCTTTTTCTGTTCAATTGCCATATTGCTGTTAGGTTTTTCCTAACCACAGTTATCCTAGTGATCCATAAGAACTTTATGTTTTTTGCTGTAAAATCCTCTAACACTTAAATGTCCTGGAGCAGATGAGGGGCAACTCAAATTATGTTCAGGACCTCTCATGTGGCCCTGAAGCACACCCCTTACCATTCATGTAATCAGCCTTCATAGCCATCTGGTGGGAACCAGCTGTTGGTCCTTAACATCCAAATCCCTCATAGCTGAGCTTTTTAAATTCCTGTAATAGCATGGGATAATAATAATAATAATAATAATAATAATAATAATAATAATAATAATAATAATAATAATAATAATAATAATAATAATAATAATATCCACTTGTATTTTGCTCTGAAAATACTACCATTGTTTAATTTTGCACATAGCTGCTATCTTAATGCTGGTTAATAATATTGCTGTTACCCTGTTTCTGTATCCAAGAATTATGATGTAATCTGTCATGTCAGTTTCTATGTCAATATTATGTCATGTGTTATGTTATTTGTAATGTGAGGAAAACACACAAGTAAGCATTTCATTTTACTCAGGTACATAAGACAATAAACTTGAACTTGTAACATCCCTACTGTTTACAAGAATCACCCTGGGATTTTTAAAGACAGTATAGAGTCAGGACCTCAGTTTTATGTCTCATCCAAAGGATGGTTCTTTATTTACAGCATAATTTCCCCCATCACTATTCAGGGGCACACAGACTGCAGGGATAGTGCTCCCCTACTGGTCCCACTAACACCTCTTCCAGCAGCAACATTTGCTTTCCCAGGATTTCTCCTATCCAGGTACTGGCCAGACTCACACCTGCTGAGCTTCAGTGGGCTGTGAGCCAGTTGTGAATTGCAGGGTAATATAGTTGCAGGGTGATATAAAAAAACTTGCTCATTCTAAGCAAGAGGCAACAAAATAAATACAGGTGCTTTGTCTACATACTTTTTTTTAAATAAGTAAGGGATATACTCATGCATTTTCAGTTGTAACATATCTCAAGTTCAAGTTCAAGATTATTGTCATTATACCTATATACAGGTATATGGTATAACAAAATGCTATTTAGCTAGCTCACAGACTAGCTCTCAGATAGGTAGTACAAAACAACAACTGTATAATAAAAGAGAAACAACAGGTAGTGTGCAAAACAACAACAGGCAATGTGCAAAACAACAAAAGGTAACAGGTAATGTGCAAAACAACATCAGATGTGCAAAAACATCCATCAACAAAATGAAATAAAGGATAGAAAATTATGGGGAGTGAGCTTCGTGACATGTGAGGTAAAGGTAGATTTCAATGTGTGTTTGAGTTTTTGGTAAGAGAGAAGGCACTGTGATATTAAGATCGATTGTGAGAGAGGCTGGGAGTTTAATAGTTTGATAGTGCGGGGGTAAAAACTGTCTCTGAGTCTGGTAGTCTGGGCCCGAATGCTCCGGTACTGTTTTCCAGATGGTAGAGGGTCATATAGTCTGTAGCTGGGGTGTGCGGGGTCTTTGATGATGCTTAAGCTTTCCTCAAGCACTGTCTGTCATACAGTAAATGTCCTGTATAGATGGGAGGGCAACCCCAATGATGGACTGGGCAGTCTTCACCACCCGCTTTAGGGCTTTGCGGCAAGCAATACTGCAGTTGCCATACCACACTGTGATGCAACCTGTCAGTGTGCTTTCTGTAGTGCATCTGTTAGTGAGGATCTGGGGACATATCTTAGCCTTCTTCAACGGTCTTAGGAAGTACAGGCGCTGTTGCACTTTCTAGATCAGACAGGTGGCGCTGAGAGACCATGTGAGGTCCCCAGTGATATGGACGCCAAGGAATTTGAAGTTACTTGGGGGTAGGGTAGGATAGGGGTACAGTATGTCCGTTTTGCAGTTTCCTGAAATTAATGATCAGCTCCTTGGTTTTGCTGACGTTGAAGGTGAGGTTGTTGTCTTCACACCACATTGTAAGGAGATTGACCTCCTCCCTGTAGGCCCTCTCATCATTGTCTCTCATCAGACCTACAACTTAAAGGACACATTTCAGATTGCTTGATAAGTATGCCTGACACACCTGCAACTTCCTACTCCTTATACACACCCTGTTATCATTATTGTAAAGCAATAACAGTGCAATATCACCTTGTTTATTACTTTATAGATATTACAAGTCTTTATAAATAAAATGTGCTTCCCTGTTTGTGTTACACTATTCCAAGAGCATTCCAGTGGTAATATAAGTACACTGAAACAGGTGAACAGATTGATACCTTTATTGGATAATCTACTTGCTACATGATAGCACATTGTAAAACATTATCTGGGCCTACTGTACAGTTACAGTATGTCCCTACAGCTTATTCTCAACAGTATTTCTTTTTAATTGTCACACATGAGACATACTGAACTGAGGAAAAATGTGATTAATAATTTAAAAAATCAGTTATACATCGAATCATTGCCTGCAGTGAGCACTTGTGTCTGCTGCTCACCGATCTGTGTGCGAGTCTGAGAGATAAGTGTGTGAGGGAATTGAGGTGTGTGCATTCATGTGTCTGCATTTGTGTGTGGTGGGGATGTGTGTGTGGATGTATGTGACATTGTGAGTGTGAGGAGATGTGTGTCTGCCAGAGAAAGATCTGAAGTAATTTCCATCTCTGTTCCCCAGATCACTTCAAGATCAAATACACCATCCAGGTCTGCAGAAGAGATTGTGGTTTTGTTATTTGCCATTAAGCTTTTACAACACTGAACTTTCAGTTCACTTCACAGATCTTTTCTGTTAGTTTTGTGGGGGAGCTTTTTCTCTATAGTCTGCAAAATACCAGTCCTCAAGCATGTGAATTGCACAGCAGATTGACAGGGTCTTTAGAACCCGATTTAAATACAGATTTTAATTTTATATGATAATATAGTAAGGGTAAAAGGTAGTTTTTACACTTACTATGTAGTTTTACCCTTACTACTGTACAGTATGTCGAGTTGCTGTTTATGTCCCACAACTGTGCCAGGAAGAGCTGCATAACTCGGTAACATCAGCCACTTTTCTCCCATTGTTGTGTTTCGAAATCTGTTTTAGTGTTGAGTTAGGTTGTTTTTTATAGAGAGTGATGATCTTCTTCTTGTAAGAGAGCTTTCATACAGAGTGTTGGACTAAAAAGGGATATTGCAAAGTATCGGTACTCCCCGAACCGTCACGCAAGCAATAATGTTATCCATTTACCCGTGAACAGAGTTATCTATTTATTACGCTAACATGACAGCCACCGCTCAGTGGGCAATGCAAAGTTTTGTAGAGCACTTTGACACCACTTCGCCAATGCCGACGGCAGTCTCGCGATACTCACTGTAAATTCTTGTTTTCCGGTCTCGACCTTTAGTCACTGTCTTGCAACAAGTTAGTCTGCTGAGGAGTGAAGAAAGGAGCGAAACTTTTCAGGTCACAAAGCTCTTTTATTTTTTCATGCAGATAATAATGGCATATAATAGAACATTTTATTATAAAGCTCTTAATTTCAATATAGCGTTCTTTAAAATGCTGCTAGAGGGTTGCTTTAAAATGCACATTATATTTTTAGCTAAATTAATTGATCAAGTGTAAAACGTAAAGACCATTAAGGCAGCCAGGATGATATGAGAAATAAATTACTGTGATCGTTTACGTGTTTCCAGATTTATAAAGAAACTCCAGACTGTCCAAACTTCACGTTCTCCCGCCATGTTGTGAGCCCTCTGACTGCAGCATTGTAGGTTGATTAAGGGTACTGTATTTGATCAGCGTTTAATTCTAATCTGCGGAATTTTCTGAAGACAACTCTTAACTGTTTCTTTCATCTGGTAAAAAGTACAATACATTATTATTGCCGTGTTTTCGTTAAATCACGAATGAGGTTTTTCAGCCCAAAAAGAATATACAGTACTAGTATCGGTATATATTGTAAAGTACGCTTTCTCGAGTGTTACTGTGGATTTTTATAATAAATATGCAAGTTCTTTGTTTCATATATAGTCGTAAACAAACTGTTTAAAATCCGCTAAAACATTAGAAACAGAAGCAATACCCAGCATAAGCAATTGACTTGTCCCTGTAGAGCACAAGTGATATTCCTGAATTTAAACATACGTTCTATTTAATTTTACCTTGCTTTATAATTTGTGCGTTTTTCCGTATTGGCAACCCTTGGAGAGTACAGTTGATTTTGCTAGTTAAAAATCAGTTCAGTCCTCGTTAAAAAAAAACAGCCCATAGTTCATTGCAAACTGGAGAGAAAGTAAACACGCTCGCCGTCGGTTGCTAAAAATATAAAGAGAAAAAAACAACCCCATAGTATCATTTTGAAAAAATTATGGAAAGCCACAAAAACATACAAGTAACATTTCTGCGCGATTTAGAGTTTATTTGCTATTTAATGACCATTTAAAGCAATGTGTTTACATTACTTGTGTTGAGGAGTGTTAATCCAGCTTTAGCATTTATAGCACTTCCTATTACTGCTAATCCAATTCGGAGAAATGGTAGCCCAGAACCTATCTGATGAAGCATTGGCTGCAAGGTGCACAAATATGCATACACTCACACCAGGGCCGATTAACAGAAGCCAGTTAATAACTAAATCACATTTAAAGCATAAGCATGGTATATACTATATTTACATACAAATACTATGTAAGCATTAGTTTATTTTTGTAAAAATAAGCAGATAAAACAGGACTTAACAAATTTGACTCAGACTTTATACCAGATACATTAAATTACATTTTTAAGTTATGGGCAAGCTGCATGACTGATTAGGAATCATCACCTAATCAGAGATCACAGAAAAAGGGGTAGACTGATATAAGAATATATCTAAAATATTAATAACCTCCCAAATTCTTTTTTTAAACTATTTACAAATTAGAAGTTAGATTACAAAGATTCCAGGAATCGAGAAAATATTAGATTAAATTCATCCTTTGATTCAGTTTATAGCAAAAACGTATCATAAATTAAACATTAAGAATGTGTTGGGTCAATGAACTCATTTGATGGGAGATGGATTAAAAGTAGGAGAAATTAAAGTTCCAAATGGGAAAATAAGCTACAAGCAGAATCACTTTCTAATGCTTGGAATAATATTTTTAGGAATACCTTTGAAACAAAAGTGATTTGTTTGGAGGGAATATGCAAATTTAGATAATATTTTTTTTTAAATACCCATAATACAAACTACATATACTGTGATAGAACAAACAAAATGCTTGCTGAAAGAATTGTGGTGAGACTAAAGCTTATTACATACATATTTTATATATGTACTATTTTGAAAGCATTCTGGGATGTATTAAAGTCATGGAATTTATTTATGTTAACTCTATTTATGTCCAAAGAACTTTCTTCTCAGTGCTCCAAGGGTGTTGTTTTCTGAAATAGACAAGTACCTCTTTAGAATATTTAGGATAACTGATTTAAAGCAGATAAGATTATGGCTTAAACCAGAAGCATCTCAAATCAGTAAATGGACTGAAACAATTAGTGAAGTGGGATGGATAACTCATAGAATAAAGATTCAGAATAAGCTTTTTGACAATAGATGGGAGAAAATAAGAAGGATTAATATTATGGGAAGTGATATTACAGATCCTGCCATTCAGAATACATGCCAGATAATGTAGCAATTTGCAGCATGCCCTGGCGTAATGTGACATTTTTTTAAAATCTGTTTTTGGACTGCACTGTTTTGTACAACCGTCAGGTGGCGCAGTGAATGATTAACATGGTATATGGAAATATTCATGCTGTCACCAAAATGCCTGGTTTCGTATTCCGGTCGATGCTGAGCCTCTTGAGACAATTATAGAATGTAAGTTCTATACTGTTTAGACTATTAATTTCAAATTGTTTACTATAGTGTGTTTAATATTACATTAATTAAAAAGTAGGTCTAATTTATAAAAACAAAAATACTCATTTGGATATATAAAAGCACCGTATAAAAGTATAATAGTTTATTATTATACTTTAGCTTGTTGTGAACAAGATTGAGGAAATCTGCATTTAGTCTTAATGCAAATTCCAGCAATGAGTAATCAGGAAACAATTTAACTTAACAACTAAAGGTAAATTTTGGTAGCAGAAAATAAAAACAGAAGTATTATATATACCAAATGTACACACAGTAGATGGCAGTGGTAGCTAAATATAAGTTCACAACAGTATCCCACTTTCTTCATAAATATTGTATGCATCAAAGTCTTTAACTTGGTAACTTACCATGAGTATTTTGGAAAAGTTTTAACATGCTTGTTCTTACATTATAAAGTTTATATACTGTACTTCATAAACAGCTATAATGTTTTATCATTTTCTAAGAATGTGTAGTAAGTACACTATACTTGTTGTTATTGTATTATACTGATTTAATAACATTTTATAGGGAATATTAATGTGGAATCATATAACTAAGAAGCTAAAAATATCACTTGTGGATATTCTGAAAACATTTTTACATGTTCGCTCAAATCCAGGAGAGACCATCCCTTTGGTTCTTTTACATAGCCAGATATATAACAAATAGTTTATTATTATAGCTTGTGGTGAATACGATGTGCCTCTTTCAGGTTTACGTCTGGATTGTGAAAATCTATATTTTGTCTTAATGCAAATTTCAGGAATGAGTAATCATGAAGCAATATAACTTTAAATTTTAATTATAAAAATATATTTCACACATATTGTACTATAGTAGCTTTAAAACCATACAGTACCATACTGTATTTACTGTGTATAATTGGTACATTTTATACATTGACAGTATTCACGTTTGTTAACGCATTAATGTTTTTAATCTATTAATATTTCATCATTTAATATGTTGTGATATAAAAATAATAAAAAATATAAATGAAGCGTACGTGTAATATACAGTTTTATTTTTAGAGAAGGAGTCTTGTTAAAAATAAAACTTGTACCCTGAGTTAGAACTGAAAATGGGCCTTCTGGGTAAAAGGGAAGGACAGCTTGGTAAAGGGACATGTCAAAATTTTTCCAAAATAATCACAAATGAATGAGTCAAAGAAATTGTTGCAGAGATGCAGCTGTTTACAAAGAAAGCGGAATAGGTACTACTACCAGTTATGTCAATATGATATTTAGATCCATAAATTAATATAGTGATTATTTTTTTTAGTTGCGTGATTCCATATTAATATTCCCTGTTAAGCGGATTCTAAAAAGTACATGTTTTTTACCGCTATGTCAACAGGTTAAAACATTATAGCTTTCAATAAAGTATATAAACTTAATATAGTCAGAATGAGCATGTCAGAGCTTTTCCAAAAAAACACAGTAAGTGATCGAGTTAAAGACTTAGATGCATAAAATGTTTATGAAGATGGTGGAATACTTTTGTTGTTTTTTTTAGCTATCACTACATAAACAGTATGTATTTTTATATTCCAGATTAATATAATTTATGACATTCAGAGACATTATGCTCCTGCTATGTTTATGCTAAGCTACCAGAATTTCCATTTAGTTGTAAAATTCCATATTAATATTCCGTATAAAGCAGATTTAAACATTCACAGTAGAGAGATTAAATTAAGCAATCGTTTCACTATCATCTAACGCTTTACAAGTGCCACCTATCGATCATCTTTGCCCAGTGAATTACATAACGCGCCGCACCGCATGACTTTTACTGTATTTGGAAGAAATACTGCGTGTTCTGAGTGGCTGCATCTGTATGTGAAATAATGAAGGATAAAGGTAATAATTGTTAAATTACGTAATATATATTTAACTATTAAATTATAATGTATATTCTTATTCCAATAAATATGAAATTATATATTAATTGAATACTGTAATATTAATGAAATTACTTTATGTCTGTTTTTTCAGATATATTAATTACATATTTAAACTATTTATAAATCTTTATTGGCTTTATTATTATTTGATAATTGTGGCAAATTTTGGATGGCAATAAAAACAAATATAAAAAGCATGACAAAAAAATCTCTTCAGAGCTTGGGGGAACAGAAAAATATTCATATAAAATTAAAAAATCTGTTTGCCTTTACTAGGGCTCTGAAGACGCAGAGGGAGATGGCTGCACTCAGTGGTAAAGTCCAGACGGTGCTAGGCCTTGTTGAGCCCACCGAACTGGGCCTCACCTTGACTCACGAGCATCTAACCATGACCTTTGAGTGCTGCTTCAGCCCTCCCCCGCCTGGGCAGGAACACCTTGTGGAAGCGCCCATTGAGATGAAGAACCTCTTCTGGCTAAAACAGAATGCCTACAGCAACAAAGAGAACCTGCTGCTCAACCAGGAGAGTGAAGCTGTGAAGGAGGAGCTCCTGCTGTTCAAGAGAGCTGGTGGTGGTACCATAGTAGAAAACACTACCACTGGGATCAGCCGGGACTTGAAGACACTGAAGAGGCTCTCACAAGAGACTGGTGTGCACGTGGTGGCCGGAGCTGGCTTCTATGTGGGTGACACCCACTCCATTGAGACTCAGAAAATGTCTGTGGAGCAGGTACAGTGAGTAAATCGATTCTCATTGCAAGCTGTGAGCTTCGTGAAGTTGCCCCCCCAACAAACTACACGAATGATGAAACCTACCGCATTCATTAGTGCGGCGTTTGTGCCAGTTCGTGCCATTGAAAATAAGATTTGTTCTGCTTCTATGGCAACTTTGACCTCCAGTAACCCCATCTGTTAAGTTCAAACATTCTATTACTGGCGCGAGATTAACAATGTCTGCAATTTTGTTTCTCTGTTTTGCCGGTGGGGGAGGGCGGTGGATGATTTTGCATTTAATAACAGTATCTTCTGTATTTGTGTGGAAACAATCAAATTAAATGTCTCCAATATCACACCCTAATCAGAAAATTTGTGTTAGCCTTATAAGGTGAACATTAGCAAACAATTGCATGTTCTTAAAAAAGGCTTTAACTAGACTTGAACTGTCTTAGTACTTCACACCTGTGTTCTTTTTTAAACCTGAAGACATGATCACTTTCTCATTGTGTCCTTCTTAAATAAATCAAGGTACATTTAAAGATTCAACCTTTCATGCCAGGATTTCTTTTTAAAGGCTACTTAGTAGTTGACCCAGGTAGTTCATAACACAGCTGCAAAAGAACATTGGAAACTAACATCTCAGACATGCAGATAATACTTTTTTAAGATAATGTTTATTTTCAGAGAATATTTTCAGATAAAATAACTGAACATATACTGTATCTAAGGTCTTAAAAATCAGTAATATCCATGTCTTTCTGTTTACAGTGTTCTTGCATGCAAACATAGGTTGCAGTCTTTTTGTGTACTCCTGATCAATCCTTGGTGTAGAATACAGCGTGAGGACGCACCTTGAAGTCGGAAGACACAAATATGACTGCCTTTGTTAAGTTGTCATATATCTCCCAGCTGAAATCGTGTCTTTTGCAGTATGCAATGTAATGACCCAGGGCTAGTTTGCTTGTCCAGCTCAGTGAAGTGACCGCCCCCCCCCCACAACAAACGGCACAATCACTGAAAACCCATCGCATTCATAAGTGCACCATTAGTGCTGGTTTGTGCCATTGAAAGTAGTGTTTGTGCTGCTTTCGTTACCGAGAAAAAGTAGCTTGTGTTTTTTTGATAATCACATGACTGTCTACAAGGAAGTTTACAGGCAGCAACACACTCGAATGCGGTACAGCGAGAACATGGAACACAAATAATGCCGAAGGTCAGGAATGAATCCAGGCCCCAGCACTGTGAGGCAGCAGTGCTAACCAGTGTAGTGCTGTGTATTGGAATACCAAAGTAGTGTGATAATGGAAAGCTTGCTGCCAGTTCTATTTTGTTATTGCCATACATCATTGGTAATGAAGAAACCATCATGTTTTTTTTATTTTGTTTCCCAAGCTCACAGATATTATTGTAAGTGAAGTACTCCATGGAGCAGATGGCACAGATGTCAGGTGTGGGGTGATAGGAGAGATTGGCGTCTCCTGGCCCATCATGGAGAGCGAGAAGAAGGTCCTTCAGGCCACTGCCCATGCTCAGGCCCAGTTGGGCTGCCCTGTGATCATTCATCCAGGCCGAAACCCCACTGCTCCAGCCCAGATTGTGCGCATTCTTCAGGAGGCAGGGGGAGACATCCCCAAGACAGTTATGTCCCATCTTGATAGGTATGTGTCACATGTTTTTAATTAGAATTGTTTGTCTCATTTTATATTTATCTCCCTTCCATCCATCACTTCTAGAGACCTGTGCCATTTTAAGCCAACTCTGTTAATTATGTACTCTGCAGAATATAATTAGTATGTATCACAGCAATGTCTTTAAACCCTGCTTTTATTTAAAAGCATTGCACTTTTCCCGTTTTTATGACCTTTCATGATTAAAGAATGGGTGACGGATGGGGATGATTTTCATAAGTTTAATGTCAGTTCTCCTTCCCTTTCTGAATGATTTTGTTGCCTTTGATTAACTATTTGTGGATGTTTCATCTTCACAAATGCAACAAAGTCATGGATTTTAAATGATTTGATTGTTCAGCTGTGTCCATATTTAACCTGACGTGGGTACAAGCAGAGATCATAGTCCTTCATAAGTTATTTTTAAGTAAGTTATTTATAAGTATTTGCATATTTTTCTTACTTTTTTTTATAATTAGGACAATATTTGACAAGGGTGATCTGCTGGAGTTTGCCAGTCTTGGGAGTTACTTGGAGTATGACCTTTTCGGTACTGAAATGCTGAATTATCCATTTAATCCTGATGTGGATATGCCAAGTGACAGTGACAGAATCAAGAGGTGAGTAATTCCTGTGCCCAGCCATATCTCAGATGAATGATTTCAATTTATTTTATTTTTTTTGCATTATGCGACTCTGTTAACAGCCAGAGCTTGTAGTAGGGTTTTTGTCATTAATGTTATTTTTTACGGGTCTTGCTGTATGAAATATACACCTACAGAAAACCATCATTACTTTAGCCACTTTTAACATGTCAGAATAAATTAAAGCTACTGTACCTCCAGAGTAGTTATACTCAGCACAGCCTTTCTGTTGTTCTGTCTGAAAACAGTTTACTAACATTTTAGATGTATACATTTAAGCTGTAATTGTTTATCATAATAATTATAATTGCTTACACTTATATAGCGCTTTTCTGGACACCCCACTCAAAGCACTTTACAGGTAAATGGTGACTCCCCTCCACCACCAATGTGCAGCATCCACCTGGATGATGCGATTGCAGCCATAGTGCGCCAGTGCACTCACCGCAAATCAGCTATCAGTGGGGAGGAGATTGCTCTTCCCTTCTGTGATATCAACCTGACATTTCATTTCATTTTCAGTAGGTGGGAGTTCTGAATCCTACCAAGAGGGGTGCATTTGCAGGTATAATGACAATCAAGAGCATCAAAATCCCTATTTCAGAATTTTAAGTCCTGGATGCTTTGGACATGTAAACTAGCAAAGACCTAAAGACCTGTACATTAGAAGAATAACACAGGATGTAAAAAACAGGTTTTCGGCAACCTTACAGGAGTAATTGAGAGAAATTATTGCACAAAAGGTTTTTAAATAACAAAAATGTTTTTCATCCTCAGATTTTTACCTTTGAACTTGTAAAACTACTTTCACACCATCGTAAGCAAATCCTTGCCATCTGTATTTTATTTAGAAGAACAGAAATAAAATAGAGTTTAAAGCAAAGAAACCAAAACATAGCCTTGCAGAATTTTGAAAGACATGAAATTTCTTCTTATATGCTGGTGTATATACTGTATGCTGTGTATACTGATGTAATAATATGCCTGTGTTATATAACATTCCAATATAAAAAGGAAATGAGAATTACCACTAAAATGTTTATTATTATAAACATTAGGAGACTTTCTTTGTGTGAATGTCAAGTTACGGGATTGTCAGTACAATGCACACAGAACAAAGTCACAGACTTAAAATTGAAGATTGGCAAACCCTGCCCTCCTGCAGACTCTGCATGCTGTGAGTGGAGATTTTAATATGTGGTTGCTTCCCTTTCCATATGAATTTTGAAATTCTAGAACAGTCTTTCCCAAAAGCCTAGAAATGTTCTTCATGTTAGCATCTATCTGTTTAAAACTGTTAATAAAACCTGTGATGGAATGTAAAGAAGAGTAAGGCTGACCACACAGTCAAAGGTTAGCCAGCCATCTCCACTTCAAAATGTAATGGTAGTAATGTAAAATTAGACACAATGTCAAAATCATAGCAAACAGTAAACGAGAGTGGGATTGAAAGGTTGTCTCAGAACCAATATATCATCTGCATAGAATGTGGAGCATTATTAACAGTAACAGGTGTACACGTAGTAGAGGAAACCTGAACCTAATCTCACTGCAATAGCAGCTGTTCCTCAGCATTATTTATATATTGGTCTGAGCTGTCTGAGATTGGAGACAATCTTGCAGAGAAACTGTAGGCATTCACAACACCTTGACAAATTGAAATCTGCTGCAGCTGATTTTATTTCCACTTCTCTTTAAATAACTAAAGACCTCAAGATCATCCACATGTATAGTATCATTTCAAGCTGAAGAAGGACCTAACAGTGGCCAGAGAATAAGTACAATTCAGGAGGTTTTTTTCAATGCATCCTTTAGGTCAGACATGAATATAGAAGTTTCCAACAACAGTAGGAACCTGAAGTTAAAACAGTGTTGCTGCAACAAAACATTTCCCTAGTAAATACTTCACATATGTGACATGATCAGCATTCATCAGAGACATACAAAAAACATTCACATTCAAAATTGCATTCAGAAAAAAAATGAAATATAATTTGAATGAATTCCACAGGGCTTTAAAATAACATCTATCTATCATTTTACCTTCTTGCTAAGAAACTGTTACAAAGTATTTTTCCTTTCATTCTTTTAACTGTTTAAATAAGCTGTAGCTTCAGGGCCTTCCTTTTTAAACATATCCCATTGGTTAGTAGGTTTCATGGTATCAAATGTGGTACTGTTTGGTTTGGAAATAGCACTTATCTGGGACACTTTAATATGTAGTTCTTGTATGTTGCAAACATTATATGGGAATAAATATGCTGTAAATATAAGTGAAATAAACCTTTTGATTTGAATCTTGAATCTAAATGTTTTCTCAGACAGGGATTATTAAACATACAAGCACAGACAACATGAGCACAGGCCAGTTTTTTTGACTGTGTGGATTAATAATATTATTTGCTCTGAATTAATGGAATACAGAATAAATAAGATCTTAAATACACTTTCATTTTAACAACAATGGCAATTCCTAAAGAGGTCAAATTACAATGAAGAGTATTACTCAGTGGTGAATATAATATTGAATATTAAAGGACTGAAAATTAAAAATGTGTTTTTCTAAATTGTTTCAGAAATTAGTAAATTAACAATTACTTTAGAAATACAGTATAATTTTCTAAAGTAATAAACTATTTTCTTTTTTTTTCATTTTCATTTTTAGATGACTAATAAACTATTAGAGGAGTAATAAACTATTTTAATTTTTAAAACACTTAATAGTTCTGCCCCAGAGAATAGGATGCCCTGCAGTTTTTTTTCCGGCATAACAGGTCCAATGACGATGCCATTTCCCCAGCTCTTCACACTGCCCTGGCCCACAGCTCTGTATTTAACACTATAGTTCCATCCAGATTAGTCAGGAAGCTTAATGACCTGGGGATCAGCACCTCTCTATGCAGTTGGATTATGGATTTCCAGACTGGCAGACCACAGACTGTGAGGGTTAATGGAAAGCTTTCTGCCATGCTGACCGTCAGTATACAGTTGGTGCCCCTCAGGGCTGTGTGCTTAGCCTCCTGCTGTTTTCCTTGATTGTGTGGCCAGACACAGCTCTAACTCCATCTACAAATATGCTGATAACACTACCATTATTGGCCAAATCACCAGAAATGATGAGACAGCCTACAGGAATGGTGCCTCAACAATAATCTCTTCCTCAACGTCAGCAAAACCAAAGAACTGGTCATTGATTTTAGAAAGGAGGGTGGGGATCACACCCCGATTCACATCAATGGGGTGGCTATAGAGCAGCTTCAAGTTCCTGAGTGCCTTCATTCCTAATGATTTAACGTGGTCCCAGCTAGTTACTGAAGCTACAAAGAAGGCACAACAGTGCCTTTGCTTCCTCAGACAGTTGAAAACATTTGGTGTCTATTTTCAACTGTCCTTACCACATTTTACAGGACACTGTTAGGATTGTGCTCACATGTGGTATTACAGTGTGGTTGTAGGAGCATAAAGGCACGAACGTCCAGATTCAGAGACAGCTTCCTCCCACAAGCTGTCCGATTACTGAACTCTACACCTACCACTGGCTTTACACTGATGTTTTTTTTTCTCATACTGCTTGTGTGACTTTTTTTTAAGTCGTATGTTATTTAACTTGTTGTTGTTGCTGCTGCTGTTCTGTTTGTTTTTGGTGATTCCTTTTATGTCTTTGTATTGGAGCACACATGCAAATAAGCATTTCATTGCACTTGTGCATATGACAAACTGAACTGAAGGATTATGCTAAAAGTTGAAATTTTTGTGATCAACATTTTATTATTTTAATAATGGACAAAAGTACTTTCCAGTCTCAACCAAAAACCCAGTCTATAAATACTGAATTTCTTTATGCATGCTCTCTCCTTGCTGACTGAGCTCCAGATCGCAAGAAAAAGAGTTTATTTTTAATGTAAGAAATTACGTTTAGCAATGTTTTAATTGATAAATTGATTAATTCCTTGTTTTTTATGCTTGTTTTATTTATGTATTTACTTTTTCAGTATCAGACTGCTGGTGGAGGAAGGTTTTGAAGACAGAGTTCTTGTTGCCCATGACATCCACACCAAAAACAGGCTGACAAAGTTTGGTGGGCATGGATACTCTCACATCCTTACCAACATTGTGCCAAAAATGCTCTCAAGGGGCATCAAGCAAAGCGTTGTGGATAAAATTTTAATTGAAAATCCAAAACACTGGCTCACTTTTAAGTAAGCACAAATAATTGTTTATTTGGGGAACAGATTATCTGTCCATTTCAAATAACAAAATGTATGTAATTATATTTTTCAGATTAAGGTGCTTCTTAAAATAATTTTCAATAATGAAGTTTTGTAACTGAATTTTAATGTGGCTATAAAGAAATTTAAGATTTTTTTCTTGAGGGATTTTGTAATGTTTTGCTAATCTTTCCATTGGTTACAATTCCTCATCACAGCACAAACAAAAAAAATGATCACTGTGAGTTCATATGTCTTCACAAGAGCAAAAGAAAATTGAACAAGGAATTTGCAAATAATCTTACCTTGAACTTTCACTACCACAGCACTGTTTTAAATTCATTCACAGTTTAAAATGCAAAACTTACATTCACATTAATTGAATCTTCCATTATCTCAACTGCATAATTCAATTACACGCATACCCCAGTATCCAAACCTAATTAGTTTCTGAAAATTTGTTTGGAAGGCGGGAGATCATAAATCGAAAATAAAACTTCCATTATTTCTTATGGGGAACATTCCACCCTGTTCCAAACCAAAGACAAGTTCACTCAGAAACCACCCTAAACACAGACCATTATAGAAATCTTAGTGAACAACGCACTCAAATAAGCCAACTATACCTGTAAAATAATTAATTGGATCATATTTACATTTTTCATTCTTTAGCAATAGATCCCTATCCAAGCGATCGGGTAGAACAATATGCATTCTGTTGTCGAATATTATGCTAAAGAATCCTTTTCTCTTCCTTAAGAATCCATAATGAACAGCAACTACAAAACAAACACAAAAAAACATTTTGAAAATGAGAGCACAAGCCAAATTAAAAT